AAATATAGCTAGAAGGGCTATTTCAATAGCAGCATCCAAAATGCCTATACGAACTCAATTCATTATTTCAGGATAAAAATGTAGAACCAACAGAAATGAATCTTGGGGATGAAAGTTTCTTTTTTTGGACAAAAAATATTCCTTTTTTTCTTCATCCTTTGCATTGGAAGAATAAACTAAAAAATTGATATGATTCAACCTCTGACCCATTTAAATGTAGCAAATAACAACGGGGCTCAAGAATTAATGTGTATTCGAATCATAGGAGCTAACAATCGTCGATATGCTCATATTGGTGACGTTATTGTTGCTATGATCAAAGAAGCAGTACCAAATATGCCCCTAGAAAAATCAGAAGTAGTCAGAGTTGTAATTGTTCATACCTGTAAAGAACTTAAACGTGACAGCGGGATATGATGACAATGCTACAGTTGTGATTGATCAAGAATGAAATCCAAAGGGAACTAGAATTTTAGGTGCGATCCCCCAGGAATCGAGACAATTAAATTTTACTAAAATAGTTTCATTAGCTGCCGAGGTATTATAAAATGAGATCACTGATATGATAATAGTGGGTATTTGAAAGAAATAGATTAAGAACTAGATTAATTAGTAGATTGTGTTTCACGCATATGCCTTTAATAATTCATAATCATAAAACAAATTAAGTAAAAAAATGTTGATTATATCCAATTTTAGGGTACCCATAATTTTAGTTCACCATGGGTAGTTTAGTTCACCATGGGTAGGGACACTATTGCTAAAATAATATCCTCTATACGAAATGCTGATATGGACAGAAAAAGAGTGGTTCGCATTGCATTTACTAATATTATCAAAAATATTGTGAAAATACTTTTCCGAGAGGGTTTTATTGAAAACGTTAGAAAATATCGAGAAAAAAACAAATCTTTTTTGGTTTTAAACCTACGGCATAGAAGGAATAGGAAAAGACTCTATAGAAATTTTTTAAATTTAAAACGAATCAGTCGACCCGGTCTACAAATCTATTCTAACTCTTAGAGAATTCCTATAATTTTAGGTGGGATGGGGATTGTAATTCTTTCTACTTCTCGAGGTATAATGACTGATCGAGAGGCCCGATTCGAAGGAATCAATGGAGAAATTTTGTGTTATATATGGTAATCCTTTTGATATCCAAATTAGATCTGAAACTTCTTCCTATTTCTAAAAAAAAAAAAGAGATGAGTTGTCTAATATTGTTCCTCCTCAAGTAGTTGATAATTCAAGGAGGCTTTAACTGTAATGAAAGAACAAAAATGGATTCATGAAGGTTTAATTACTGAATCGCTTCCCAATGGTACGTTTCGGGTTCGGTTAGATAATGAAGATCTGATCCGGGGTTATATTTCAGGAAAGATTCGGTGTAATTTTATACGGATACTGCCATGAGTAGAGTCAAAAATGAAGTAAGTTGTTATGATTCAAACAGAGGATGTGTAATTTATCGACTCCGGAACAAGGATTTGAAGGTTTAGGTGGTTTTTATTCAATATGATTCGAGATGAAAAATTGCAAGAAACTTATTTTTTTTTCCAAGAAATAGATTTAGAATTAAGATAAGGAATGACAAATATGAAAATAAGAGCTTCTGTTCGCAAAATTTGTGAAAAATGTCGCCTAATTCATACACTAGGGTGCATTATAGTAATTTGTTCCAACCCGAGACATAAATGAAGACAAGGATAATTAGACTCACTAAAGGACTCGATGTAAAAATGAGGATTCTGTTTTGACATGAAATGCATATATCCATATATCTCTGACTCATATTTATGAGAATATAAAATATGGCAAAAGCTATACCGAGAATTGTTTCACGTAGAAATGGACATATTGGTTCACGTAAGAGTGCACGTAGAATACCAAAGGGGGTTATTCATGTTCAAGCAAGTTTCAATAATACCATTGTCACGGTTACAGATGTACGGGGTCGGGTGGTTTCTTGGTCCTCAGCGGATACTTGTGGATTCAAGGGTATGAGAAGAGAGACACCCTTTGCCGCTCAAACTACAACAGTAAATGCTATTCGTACAGTAGTAGATCAAGGTATGCAATGAGCAGAAGTCATGATAAAAGGTCCCGATCTCGAAAAAGATGCAGCATTACGAGCCATTCGTAGAAGTGGTATACTATTAACTTTCATGCGGGATGTAACCCCTATGCCACTTAATGGTTGCAAAACCCCGAAAAAAAGATGTTTGTAGAAATAAGCATTGAAGAAATTTCAAGAAAAATAAGAGAAATAAATGATTCAATCAAATCAAATAATATTACTATGGTTCGAGAGAAAGTAACAGTATCTACTCGGACACTACAGTGGAAGTGTGTTGAATCAAGAGAAGACAGTAAACGTCTTTATTATGGACGCTTTATTTTGTCTCCACTTAAGAAAGGTCAAGCCGACACAATAGGCATTACGATGCGAAGAGCTTTACTTGGAGAAATAGAAGGAACATGTATCACACGTGTAAAATCTGAGAACGTCCCACATGAATATTCTACCATAGCGGGTATTCAAGAATCGGTCCATGAAATTTTAATGAATTTAAAAGAAATTGTATTGAGAAGTAATCTATATGGAACTTGTGACGCGTCTATTTGTGTCAGAGGTCCAGGATATGTAACTGCTCAAGATATCATCTTACCACCTTATGTAGAAATCGTTGATAATACACAACATATAGCTAGCTTGACAGAACCAATTGATTTGTGTATTGGATTACAAATCAAGAGAAATCGCGGATATCTTATCAAAATGCCACATAACTTTCAAGATGGAAGTTATCCTATAGATGCTGTATTCATGCCTGTTCGAAATGCGAATCATAGTATTCATTCTTATGGGAATGGGAATGAAAAACAAGAGATACTCTTTCTCGAAATATGGACAAATGGGAGTTTAACTCCGAAAGAAGCACTTCATGAAGCCTGCCGGAATTTGATTGATTTATTTATTCCCTTTTTACATAAGGAAGAAGAAAACTTACCTTTAGAGGACAATCAACACATGGTTCCTTTATCCCCTCTTATCTTTCACGATAAATCGGATAAACTCAGAAAAAACAAAAAGGAAATAGAATTGAAATCGATTTTTATTGACCAATCAGAATTCTCTCCCAGGGTCTATAATTGCCTCAAAAGGTCCAATATATATACATTATTGGACCTTTTGAATAACAGTCCGGAAGATCTCATGAAAATTGAACATTTGCGCCTAGAAGATATAAAACAGATATTGGTCATTCTAGAAAAACATTTCGCAATTGATTTACCAAAAAAGAAGTTTTAAATCTATTGGATTTCTTTTGTCTTTTTTTTTCATTAAGATGAAAATGGTTTTGAATCTTTAGCACAATTCATATATTCGAAAGAAATTCAAAATTGAATAGATGTATCTAGAGAGGATTCGCTTTCAAGCGACTATTCCCTAGATACACATGTCATGTTATTTCACAATGGAATCAAATTAAAAAAGACCTAAAGTTAGGGAGATCAATAGGTAATGTTGCACCAATACCCAACCAAAGAGCGACTGCAGTACCAATCAAAAAGACGGTTGTCGCTACTAGACTACGAAATGGATTTTGGAATTTATTAACATTCTCTAAAAAGGGTACTATTAATAATCCAGCAGGTACTGAAACCATTAAAAGAACACCCAATAATTTATTGCGCATTGTACAAAGTATTTAAAATACGGGAAAGAAATACCATTCAGGTAATATTTCCAAAGGAGTTGCAAACGGATCTGTCGGTTCACCAATTATTGATGGTTTTAGAATCGCTAAGCCTACATTACATGCAATAGTACCTAGAATTACTACTGGAAAAATATATAAAAGATCATTGGGCCATGCAGCTTTTCCGTAATAATTATGACCCATACCTTTAGCCAATTTAGCTATTAATACAGGATCATTCAAATCAGGTTTTTTTGTTATTGGGATTGTTGAATTCTTATAGATCCATCCCCTGAAGGAACCGAACATGACAATTTTTTATCATCCGGCTCGAGTAAGATTCAAAAGAACTAAATGAATCCATAAAAAATCTATACGTTGCCTATATACACATAGATGAAATACACGTATATGAATGATTCAATGTAAGAAAAATTTGACTCTCTTTTCAGAATTGCCACTACCTATTTCAAAAAATTTGGTTAAGTAAATACTCAATGCCCAAGTTGGCTTACAAAGTTTAACATGATATGATCCAGTACTTTCTGGGTCATCTCAGACTTTACGATTGGTATTTATCTCCAAAATATTTGGAGATATACACACAAAATGTTTACTTGTTACTAATCTAGTCTAGCCTATGTTTTTCTTTAAATCCCTTGTTTTACTCCGATGGTATTATCGATCATATCAATGTAGAGGAAATAAATGCATTTCCATACTATTCAATTTTAAGTATTAAGTAAGTGAAATAGATAAAGATTCTATTTTAGTTTATCCATTTCACTTATTATAATTATACTGGATCTTACGGAGCCTACTCATGTACAACATGATTCGGTCTAATCATAGAAAAGAATCTCTTCAAGTGAACCAACCTATCTTGTGTATAGGGCTTACGCGACAATTGGAACAAAGACACATTTGGTTGTGAGTTCCAATGTGGCAAACATATATCTACACAGACCAATCGATAGTTCAAGTCACACACACTCCCATAATCCATTTCCTCTTTGTAGAATTCCCTTCAACTCTACATTTATTTGACATGACTGGTTGAAGGGAAATATCTAAATACATGGATTATTATTTTCAATAATCCATACTTGTAGCAATGAAATACTATTATTCCTCCTCCAAGTGATAAATGATTGATTACAAATATCTATTATATATCTTCTCTATAAAGGACCAGAAATGCCTTGTTTAGGTATCATTGGAAAGTGCATTAACATAAATATAGCAGTAAGAAGTGGCAATACAAAAGTGTGTAAACTATAAAAATGAGTTAAAGTGGATTGTCCCACACTAGCACTTCCGCGCAATAATTCTACCAAAGGCAATCCTATTATAGGAATAGCTTCAAGTACACCTGTTACAATTTTCATCGCCCAATAACCAATTTGGTTCCGAGGTAAGGAATAACCAGTTACACCAAAAGATGCTGTCAATAACCCCAGAACCACACCTGTAACCCAAGTCAATTCGTGAGGTTTTTTAAATCCACCCGTGAGATACATAGGAAAAATATGTAGGATCATCATTAGGACCATCATACTTGCAGACCATCGATGAACTGATCGGATTAACCAACAAAAGTTAGCTTCCATCATTATGTATTGAACAGAGGCAAAAACCTCTTTAACGGTCAGACAATAGTAAAAAGTCATAGCAAACCCTGTAGCTACTTTTACTAAAAAACAAGTAAGCATAATTCCCCCTAACCAATAAAATATATTCGCATGGGGAGGAATGTATTTACTAGTTATATCATCCGCAATCATATGAATCTTGAGACGTTCTTCGAACCAATTATAGACTTTATTGAGATAGGTGACAATCCCCTTTTCAAAACGTATATGAGATTTTCATCTCGTACAATTCAAGCAAAAACACCCAAATACTAGTTGCAATGGATATGTAACAGAAAGTTTGAAACTTCTTAATCTCTTATTCAATCTTATCTGAATGTACAAAAGAATAAAAAAATAATAACCTAAAAGCTCTTCTTTGTGGCAATAATACCAAAATATCAAGTTGGCTCAATCGTCTTTATGTTTATCCTTACGGGCCTCTTGAATTATCTCTTTAACTATTTCTTTAATTTGTTTTTCTATCTAATGTGGCTTTTTTGTTTTCTTTATTATTGAATTGATAGGAATTATCTTGTTAAGACCCTATGAATCGATTAAAACCTCAAATCCATACTAAAACCACAATGATTCAACTAAGCTAAGCCAAGGATTATCTGAGTAAGAACCATTGGATCATCACTTATTCCATCAATAGGTAGACTAAAAAACTTTTCTTTTTTTTTAATTCTAATTCTTTGAAATTTTTTTTGGAGTCCAGACACGAGGTCGAATATTATGTATGAATCATAGTCCAAATATTTCTTAATCTAGTTCATATATTTTATGTTCCAAATACTAGAATAAATATCCGACGAAGTAGAAATATCTATCAAGATAACAGGCCCATTCTCTGTACTATCAATAGGATCAATTATAACAAGTCACACACTCATATTCCAGAAATACAGAAAGAAATAAATTCCATGATCAAACTACCAAAATAGAATAGGCTAGGAATCCGAGCTCTAACTGATTCATTTTTTTATTCAAAAGACAGGACTTTGCAGTTCTTATAAATTTAATTCATTGAAATTCCATCCAATAAAATGGAAGAATTATAAATCTCCAAAATAACAGATAGAAATATCGCTAATAGAGCCATTACGACACCCATCAAAGGAGTCGTTCCCTACCCGGGAGCTACTTTACCATATTCTGAATTCAATGGTTTTAATAAACTTTCTATAATATTTCCTCTTGGACTAGATCTAGAACTGTTCTTAACAGTTTGTGTAGCCATAAATCCTATTGTATTCATTGAAATCTGTTGACTTTGTATACCATTCCGTTGTAAATAAACAATCTTATCATAAATCCATTGGGATCTTGAAATTATATAATCATAATGGAAAGAGCAACCCTAGTCGCCATCTTTATATCTGGTTTACTTGTCAGTTTTACTGGGTACGCCTTATATACCGCTTTTGGACAACCTTTTCAGCAACTAAGAGATCCATTCGAGGAACATGGGGACCAGTTGAAGTAATGAGCCTCCCCATATTGGGAGGCTCATTACTTCAATTGAGATAATGAAAAATCATTTCATTTTTTTAGTGGGAACTTTAGGCGGTTCTCGAAAAATATATAGAGAAAAAAATTATCCCTAGAGTCGAGACTAAGAGGAATGTATAAACCAATGCTTCCATAGATTATATCGTGGTTTACAGTTATAGCTTCCATACCTGTTTGTTTTTTGTTTCTTTGGGAATCATCTCTCGGATAAAGAAAGAGCAAGAGTAAAAAAAGCAGTGATTCAAATCCACTCCGATACTCTATGTAAAATTCTCCCCAAAAAAAGAAAATAGAGGCAAAAGATACCAAAGCAGTCTTGTATCAGACTACCTGTCTTGTTATCGTTTGATCCCCAAGTTTTTGGGATGCTCCAAACTCTACTTGAGCATCCAAATCTAGGTCAATACTGGCAAAAATATCTCTAAAAAAGGTTCTAGCACCATGCTAAATGTGTTCAAAGAAGAAGAGTAAAGCAAACGAAGCATGCCCAAAAGTAAACCAACCCCTTGGACTGCTACAAAAAACACCATCGGATTTCAAAGTAGCACGATCTAATTCAAAAATTTCACCCAATTGAGCATGTCTAGCATATTTTTTCACAGTAGTAGGATCACTATAACTGACTCCATTAAGTTGGCTGTCGTAGAACTCAACAATTACACTATACTTTGATTCTGTCCTTCTAAAAGGAACATTAGCTCTAACAACTCCGTCGCCATCTACCAAAACAACTAGAAATGTTCCAAAAAAAGTAGGCATACGACGTACAAAAAGTTCATGCCCTTCTTTATCTCTAAATATAGGGTGTCCTAACCATCCAACCGTTATTCCATCTCCGTTATCCATTGAACCTGCCCTGAATAATCCTCCTTTTATCGAATTATTGCTGATATAATCATAAAAAACTATTTTTTTAGGAATTTTTAGACCAGGCTTATGATAAAATTTGATTTTTTGCTAGCCCAGCACTAACTCTTCGGTATATCTCTTGCTGGAAATAGCTCTGATCCCATTGATAATGAGTGGGCCCAAGTAATTTGGTGGGGGTAGTTGTTGAACCATAACACATAGTTCCAGCAGCAACAAAAGCAGCAAAAAAGACAGTCGCGATACTACTAGAAAGTACGGTTTCAATGTTTTCCATACGTAATCCTTTGTATAGACGTTGTGGCGGGCGGACGCTAAGATGGAATAGACCCGCTAATATGCCCAATGTCCCTACTGTAATATAATGATAAACTATTCCTCCCAAAATAAAAGGATCAAAACCTTCCATGCCCCACGCTAGATTTACAGGTTGGACTTTTCCCATTAGTCTATAAAGATCGGACACCCATATTCTCGGACCATACAAGCCTATTACATGAAATGCGCCAAAACTAAAGGAAGCCATCCCTAAGAGAAATAAATGAATTCCAAAGATCTTGGGCAAATCCAAAGAAGGTTTTCCTGTACGTTCATCACAAAATATTTCTAGATCCTAATAGACCCAATGCCAGATAGCTGACAAAAGGCATAAGCCCGAAAACATAATATGTGCCCCAGCTACACCTTCGTAACTCCAAATCTCTAGATTCGTTACAGTCCCTCCTATGATACTCCAACCTCCCCATGAATTGGTTATTCCTAAACGAGTCATGAAAGGTATAACAAACATACCCTGTCTCCAAATTGGATCGAGAACAGGGGCAGAAGGATCAAAAACTGCTAATTCATATAGAGTCATTGAACCTACCCAACCAGTAACCATGTATGCATTATATGAACGAAAAGCAACCGACTGAGATCATTCAATACAACGGTATGAACACGATACCAAGGTAAACCCATGGAAAATACCTCTTTATCAAAGATAAATAGACACTACATAACTTTGTTGCATTGGAAAAGCTATACTATGACTATTCTATGGACTCCTCGTGTTCTAAAATAATCCACTGAACAAGGGTTACTATTTGTTCTATTCTATTGGTAATAATGAAACAACTCCATTCGTATGAATAAAGAGAAGTAGATTTACTCTATACTCAATAAGTACCAATATGCAATGGGTGGTTGATACCATTTTCTATCAGCAAATATGTCTTTCCTTATTCCTCATTAGAAGGCCCTATTCGTCAAAATTTTCCTTTATTTCTTCTTTTGTCTTTCTTTATGAATTTTTCTAATCTACGATAAAACCAATTTATAAAGACAATAAAATAATGTTGTTATGTTTCCACATCAAAGTAAAATATAGTTCTTAGTTCTTTTTTTCTTTCAATTAATGCCTATTGGAGTTTCTTTCAAAGTCCTGGAGAGGAAGATGCATCTTGGGCTAACATATAATGCGACTTGTCAGATATATTGGGTCATATGGGATTTTCACGTTCTCTCCCCCGATCAGGATATCCTCTATTTCGCCTAAGAAAGATAAATTGAATCATCAAAAATTTGGAGCGTGAAGCACAATTAGATCCATTGTTTGGGGGGGTTCACATTACTATTATCAATTAAAATAATTTATGGTTAGCTTGGTTGGACTAAGGATGAAGTATCCAGGCTCTGTTTACAAAAAACTCAATTGGTAATTTATCTATTATTACTACTTGTATCATAAATGATTCATGTTTGGTTTTTGTAAGGAGATCCTATTTGTCAAGCGAGGGAATCTCGAACTAAATACTTGGTGAAAGGTATGAAATGAATTGAAAAAAAAAGTCATAACAAAAAGAAATGGTAATGGGAAGATTTGTCCTATATGTGCAAATAAAAATTGGGCGGATCTTTACCCGGAGTAGAGCATAAACCTAAAAAGATGAAAGAGACCCATTCAAGAACAAGAAAATACCATCGTGATTTGGATTGAATCTCGATGAAACAATACATCTATGAGAAGTTAATTCGATAAGTTTAGTGAATTTTTTCTATTATAAGGAAGAAAGAAGTTCAAATTCGTCCTTCATTAGAAGTCAGAAAAAACCTGCTATGAACAAAGAATAGGAACAAAGAAAGAGGACTTGAATCTAGACATTGATTCTTTTTTTTTTTTTTTTGCAATTATTTTTTGAACTGTATGCGTCAAAAGGTGCATGTCCAGTTCCTAAGGGGTTCAATTTTTCCCTAATCAACCGACTTTATCGAGAAATATGCATGGGATTAGCCACATCAATGAGATCTCAAATCAACTTATTGGTCTTATGGTATATCTCAGTATCGAGGATGATACCAAAGATCTGTATTTGTTTATAAACTCTCTGAGCGAATGGGTAATACTTGGAGTAGCTATTTACGATACTAGCGAATGGGTAATACTTGGAGTAGCTATTTACGATACTATGTAATTTGTGCAACCAGATGTCCATACAATATGCATGGGATTAGCCGCATCAATGGGATCTTTTATCTTGGTTGGAGGAGAAATTACCAAATGTCTAGCATTCCCTCACGCTTGGCACCATTGAGGTTTTTTTTATTTGAGAGAAAAAAAGAAGACTATGCCTTCACCATATGAATATTAAGTAATAATAGCACGGCACTTTGAATTCGATATGAACAAATTTGTCTTTTTTTTTTTCAAAAGATTCGATTATGTGTCGAGAGAGTAGTATGAGATAAAAGGTATTTCCAATTTCTCTTATCTATCGGGAGTTCAGTTCAGCGTTACAAACTTTTTTGTTTTCACACCAAAGGGCTCTTAACAATATTTATGTTATAAAAAAAGAGTGCGAAAAAAAAAAAAAGATTTTTCCTTATTTGATTGGATCAAAAAGAAACTTTGGGATTGCTGAATCAAAGACAAAAAAAAGAATCAATTTTAAAATAGAAAGCAACGGAGCCATCATACTATTTTTCAACTCCTCTAAAAGGAAGGGTGGCAATTTGATCATTTATCCATCTGAGTCTAATAGATTCTATTTTTCTTTTTCTTCAATGGAAGGTAAGGGTCAATTTTATCGTAGAGCTGTATGCAATGCACAAAAGATAATGCGCGTACAATTGTTCAATTCTATCTTTTTTTTTCCTATTATTCTTTATCTTTCTTTCTTTTCTCTTCGTTTCATCACGCGAGATAGAGAACTGTTATATCATCAGGGTAATGATCCATCAACCTGCTAGTTCTTTTTATGAGGCACAAACGGGAGAATTTATCCTGGAAGCGGAAGAACTGCTGAAACTACGCGAAACCCTCACAAGGGTTTATGTACAAAGAACGGGCAAACCCTTATGGGTTGTATCTGAAGACATGGAAAGAGATGTTTTTATGTTAGCAACAGAAGCCCAAGCTTGTGGAATTGTTGATCTTGTAGCAGTTGAATGAAAATAAGATGGATTTTCTAAAAATCCGTGATTTGAGATTTTATCTACGAGTTTAATATTCTATTAAATACAAATAATTCATAATCATCCGGTTAAGATCAATCTAAACCAGCCCATTATGTATATGATTCAACATGCCAACTATTAAACAACTTATTAGAAATACAAGACAGCCAATTCGAAATGTCACGAAATCCCCCGCTCTTCGGGGATGTCCTCAGCGTCGAGGAACATGTACTAGGGTGTATGTGCGACTCGTTTAGATCATGAGCTGGCACAAAAAAAAGCAAGAAAACCGCTTTCCAGTATCAATGATCAGTACCAGTAAATAGGATAGAATGGAAGAAAGAACCCCATTCACTATCTAAAAATAAGCAAATCGATCCCTCTATTGTGTATGAAGTTTATGGTTTCCATTGGTGCAAATCCAATCACCTGAATTTAAGATGAGAAGGAATTCTCCATTGGTAGCAAATGGTTATCTATTAAGCGGAGGAAATCTTATTTCAATTTCAAAAACATAAAAATGAAGCTCCCACTCTGTCAAGAACGGACTAAGAGGGTCAGCTACCCAGCTAACTTTCCTAATTAAATACCGTTACTGTATAGGTGGATCTCATTGTGAAAGACCTATTACTGGATAATTCATGGGTAGAGCCAAAGAGTGTGGTGTGAACTATACAAGTTACCAATAACATTGATTAAATGAAGTAAAGGCTCCGGTGTATAGAGAAGACCTCACCGTTTAAGAAGTAACCATAGAAACGACGGAACCCACTATTTCTTTATCCATTTAATTTATATTTCTTTTTACTATATTTTTCACACTTAGAAGAATAAAATTTCTTATTTCTTTCGTATTTCGCAGTGAAATACATAAAAAAAAGAAAAAATCGTGGTCGGGAAGGTTATAGTAGCCAAAGCCATTGGAATTTTTTTTTTATACATTGGCAAAATCCGTTTGGTTATTAATAGACCAGGAAAGGGAAAAAGAATAACTGAAAGAAAGGAAATCCATTAGTTATTCGTCAAAGTTTCATTTATTCAATGACCAGAATTAAACGCGGATATATAGCTCGGAGACGTAGAACAAAAATTCGTTTATTTGCCTCAAGCTTTCGAGGGGCTCATTCAAGACTTACTCGAACTATTACTCAACAGAAAATAAGAGCTTTGGTTTCGGCTCATCGGGATAGGGATAAGCAAAAGAGAAATTTTCGTCGTTTGTGGATCACTCGGATAAACGCAGTAATTCGCGAAAGGGGAGTATCTTATAGTTATAGTAAATTAATACATGATCTATACAAGAGACAGTTGCTTCTTAATCGTAAAATACTTGCCCAAATAGCTATATCAAATAGGAATTGTCTTTATATGATTTCCAACGAGATCATAAAAGAAGTAGATTGGAAAGAATCCACCGGAATAATTTAAACGGAGTTCCCCGGAGAATGAACTCCGGGAAGGTAGAGTCGAAATTACTATGAGAAAATATGCTAAAGTAGTCAAAATGAATGAACACATTTAATAAAAAAAATCTTTTCCGATTCGTTTTTTTTCTTACGACACGATAATAAAATCTGGATTCCCAAATTTGTCGAACAAAACAACAATCTGTGTTTGAGTTCTGATTGGAATTCGAATTCAAGTGAACAAAGAATAAGCCTATTTATTTATGGTTCTAAGACCAGTAGTTCTAGCCATCAACTCGATTCTTTCAAATTGTTTCTCATTATTGAGAAAAGGCAACAAAGATAAAATACGAGCTTGTTTTATAGAAATAGTAATTAATCGTTGTTGTTTCAAGGTCAATCTATTCACTCGTCTAGATAATATTTTTCCTTGTTCACTAGTAAATCGACTAATTAAACTCATGTTTCTATAATCAATTCGATCCCCAATTGAATCGAGGGCAAATGCCTACAAAAAGATCGCTTGGATTTAGGAAATGGTCGCTTGGATTTATCCATGGTTTTTTGTGTTTTTTTGTTTAGTTTAGATTATTTCTTATCCCAAAATCCTATTTTTCTTTCTTAATTGTAATTCATTTTAACCCCAAATAGGATTTTTTTTCTATTTAAATATGTTATATATAATTTCATTTTTGACCCTTCCTTGAAAGGCTAAGATATAATTTGGTCAATCTATTTCTTTATTTCCCCATGAATCATATGTTTGTAACAATAGGGACAAAATTTTCTCAATTCTAATCGATTAGGCGTATTGTGCTGGTTCTTTTGAGTAATATATCTAGAAATGCCCCTTGATACCTTCTTAACACCATTTTGGACACAACTAGTACATTTCAAAATCACCGTTACTCGCGCATCTTTCCCCTTAGCCATGGACGTCTTTTGTATTTTTGATTTACTCAATTCTTTTTTTTTCGATTCGAAACGAAGAAAAGGAAGGAAAAAATAAAAGTTACTAACTTGAAATCCAATTCTAAAAGATCAAAATAAATAGAAGTAATAATAAATCAAATCCATAGTAAATATAAGTAAGACAACAGATTTCTAAACTATATTTAAAATTGAAGTACGGTATTTCAGTTAAAGATCTTATTCTTGTATTCTTGCCCTAGATCTGCATTTTCTACTCTACCCCCATTTTTCTATTATTAATATTCATTATTCATTTAATTCAAACTTGAACCCGAGTATGTTGGATCGACTTTTATTCTCTTTCCTCCCTTATTCCAAAAAGGGAAAAAAGAGTAAAAAACGGGGGGGGGGGGGGGGGGGGGGGGGGAGGTGTGATAGGGGGGGGGGGGGGGGGGATTAGTCGCAGATATTTGATTGTATCTCTAATATTCTTCATTCCTTCCCATGTTAATAACTAAAATGAAAAAAAAGGGAAATGTCAACGCATCCAAGAAAAAATGATTAATCTCTATCAATAGACTTGCTAAAGCCCCGAACCACAGCGTACTTAGTACTGGTGCAACGAGGAGATGTGTTTTTAGATCTCGCATTGAAAACCCTGCTTTTATTTATTGTAATACATAAAGATAAGGCATACATGATCAAATAGATATGTAGTTAAGGACCACTTATAGTTGTACACGGAATCCCTAATTCAAATTGAAATGTACAATGATCCATAAGATTTTCTTTTTCTTAAAACAGAAAAAGATCCCCTCGTAGCGAGTATTTTAGAAAAATACTCATTTCTTTTTTTACAATGGGTTCTATATTTTGTATATATATAATAAGTTTTTTACTTTTCTTATTATTATATGTTAAATGAAAGCAAAAATACGAAATGGGCTGAAAAATTGTGTATATCAGTGGAACAGCTAAGGATGTGGAAAACAAGATAGGAATTTTCTACAACGATACTATAGAACAATTGAAAGGATGTGGAGCAGCTTGGTAGCACGTTTGTTTTAGGTACAAAATGTCACGGGTTCAAATCCTGTCATCCCTACCTATTACTGCTCCTTTGAGAAATAACGAGGAATCAACTGAGATCCATTCAAATTAGGCAGAATCTTTCATTTTTTTGAAACTATATAGTATATGCAGACAAAATGAAAATGGATTAGGGTTACAAAAAGAATCCTTTTCTTTACAGTCTTATCTTATTCTGATAAGAAAGGGCTCTTAGTTCAGTTCGGTAGAACATGGGTCTCCAAAACCCGATGTCGTAGGTTCAAATCCTACAGAGCATGATTTTTTCTTCGTAGATCGAATTAGAATGAAATAGATTCATTTGCTTGCACAGCAATCAGAATTTGATCTCCTATGGATTAAAGAAAGGAGGAGGTCAATCAAAAAAGGAAATGTTAATTAATCAAAGGTCTAGCTAATCACCACGCCTGTATTGTAAATATGCAGTTACGAATAATCCAGCCAAAGTAATAGGAATTAGACCTAACACGATTCCAAATAGAAAAACTTCAATCATTTCAATTTTTTGAAAAGGAGAAAAAAAACAGAGAGAGGTAATATCTATACCTAAATATTAATCTGAATTGACGTGAATCTCAATGACCAAGAATTGACGTAATAAGTAACTATAGAATACATCGAATATCACAGAAAGATTTCTTTTAGGAATTATTTCTTTCGGATAAAAATTTCAAATAAGTCGTACCTTGCCCAGACCAATAAATAGAGCTGAAGTTATAGTTAAACCCGCTAGTAAAAAACCGAAATAACTAGTTATAGTAAGCATGAAGGAGCTAAATGAAATATGTTATTTTTATGCATATGTTTAGAAAGCATTTACCTAAATTCCTATTTTCTGTAAAATAGGAGTATACGCAAAAATACCAATTGAAAGAATAAGTTCAACTGAAAGTTTTTGATTTATCTATCATTATATATGGCACGAACATAGATAAAGTATCAAGCACATATAAAATGAAATTGATTCATCATTTGTAACATTTATCCATCTCACGATTCCTATCAACCGATTCATTGAGCATAAACTAATAATACGAACTGGATTGTGTAACTTCATTCAAAAAAAGAAACTCTTTTTGAATTTTTATTTGTGAATAAAATTCTTCTGGAATACAATTCAAAAATCATTTATTTTGATCATTTCTTCAATTTTTGGATTGTATTGAATTCATTTTCTATTTTAGAGGGAACAGTGAGTTATAAAACTTTTTTTTGACCTTAATTAAATTTAATTCATTAAATTCAGTAATAGGTTCATTCCCATAATATCTTTAATGAATGTGAAGAAAAAAGGTATCACATGGATCACTAGAAAAAAATATTTTTTTTGGTCCAATTAGATTCTAAAACTAGTAATTTCTATTATCGTTTTTAGTTTTTACAAATTAGCTTTCCATATTTTTAAATAAAGCCTCATCCTCGTAGCTAGATCAAGATTTGTATCTTGATCCAATACAACAATGCATCACAACTATGGATTCCAATTATTTTATTCTTTCTTTGCTTTCTTTCATTGAATACGCTCTACTACTCTTATTTGTTACTGGGCAATTAACCAATTAAAAAAAGGATTCCAACAAAAAAAAACTGCTTCAAGAATTACAAAAAGGAAATTTCTAGATCTCGCGCATCTACTTAAATTGTGGAAATATGATAATCTCTTTCATTGTAAGAATTTTCTATTAATATAAAGCATCATTTTACATCAACGGGTAAAGGAAAGGAAGAAATAAATTATTTAGCACTTCCTTTCAATAACTGGCCGTTTTGATCCTTTGGAACAACTCGACGAATTTGGTAGATCATTTTAGGAAGACCTAATCTAATGGCTATAGATCGAACCTATCCAATTTTTACAGTACGATGGTTGGCTGTTCACGGCCTAGCTGTACCTACCATCTTTTATTTTGGGTCAATATCAGCAATGCAGTTCATCCAACGGCAAACTGAATCCGAATTATAGAGCTATGACACAATCAAACCCAAACGAACAAAATGTTGAATTGATTCGTACCAGTCTCTACTTGGGGTTATTACTCATTTTTGTACTTGTTGTTTTATTTTCCAATTGTTTCTTCAATTAGGAAAATGAAAGAAAATAAATAAGAATTCTAGGCATTCTCTTAGCCCATTCGGAAGGATCTCATCTCATAATTATCCATGACTGTTTATGTCTGTAGCATGACCACTTGATAAAAATTGGAGGGAAGTAGAGTAAAAGGACAATACTACTAGAAAGATTCCTCTTTGGATAATAGGTATTGTAACTGGTATTCTTGTAATTGGTTTAATAGGTATTTTCTTTTATGGTTCATATTTCGGATTGGGTTCATGCCTATAGTAATCGGATGAATTGAGTTGTCGACATGAAAGTGCAAAGACTCAATGGGATTCCCTTCTTTTTTTTGTCTGATTCGAGGGGAAAAGGCCCATTGGGTTCTTAAGAATCAGAGTCTTTTTTTCGTCTAAATGACAAAGTA